TGCCGCGGGAGCCCCATGCCAACCATGCACCACCGTTGACCCAGCAGCAGTGGTGGCAGCGAGCTGTGCCTCCCACTGCTGGGCGGACAGGAGGTACGTGGCCAGCACAGGACTCCCGAGGCAAAGGCAATGCAGCAGAGAGCTCCGAGCCCATAGCAAATGACCTTTAGTTCAAGTGTCGCCACCACCATTTTTAACCATGGGGGAGGCTTTTAAGCAGAGCAGAGCCAAGTGGGGTGAGGGCAGATGCAGGCAACCCTCTGTGAGCTCGAGGCTCTCCGCTCTGCTGGCTTTGTCCCCAAAGCCCTGTGCTGGCAGCTTGCCCCCTACCCACAACTAGCCGCTCCCACTGCTGCCGGAAAAGCCACAGAGCAGAGAGCCCCAAGTCCACAGCAAGCAGCCCACAACCACCCCACGCACAAGTCTGGGGGGGGGCACATGCTCCCCCCATGCCTCCCCCAGGGGTGCACGCAGTGGCACAGAACCGCCCTCCCTCATGCCTCCTGGATGAGCTGCCCATGGCTCCGTCCTGCTCCACCGATTTAACTGGAGTAAATCAGTTATTGGATCGGCATCGGCTGATATGGTTGGTATTGGTATTGGCCAAGAAAATCTTTAATCGCTGCACCCCTAAATACAAGTGCTGTTTGGAAAACAGAGGCACAGAAAGCATGTGATTTGCCTCATATCACAGAGACGGACTGCCTCAGAGTTGGGTACAAAACCCAGGACCCCTGGCTCCAAGCTGTACGCATTCATCGCAAGACCACTCCATCCCATCACCTTGTTGCTTCAACTTGATCCCAGGCCCTTTTAATGATCACTTCTAGGTATTGTTATTATTATTAAAACACTGTTTGTGTTCCAAGAGCTGAAGTGACTCCAACAGTCCTGGCTGGGTCGGAGGTCCACTTCTTCATTCACAGAAAAGCCAAAACATGGACCATGCAACACGAAGTATATAGCAGGTAGCAATAGATGGAGGGTATTTCTTCATGGTCAGCTAAGCTAACCAGCCTGCACAACTGCCAGGTCACCTACTGTGAAGCCTGGTTACAGGATGGGGGTGAGTATTCTGAATTCTGCAAGGGACTGATTTGTGTCATGCCCAGACAGAGCAGAGCACGCTGCCGGCACTTCATCCGAACTAGTAATTGATAAGACAAACCGTGACTCGGTTTTGAATACACAAATACCAGTACTATTTAAAACCTGCTCCAATGCAACTCAAATTATTAAATGAATGCTCTTTCAATAGCAATTCAATATAATTAAACAAGCCATTCAACAGCTAGATTATTTACATAGTTTAAATCATTCACTTTCCTTCTCCACAGGGGTTTTTTGCTTCACCAGTGCCTCTCTCCTTCTGTTCCTTGTTTTCTCCATTCCTCGCTTCTCTCCATCACTCTTCAATCTTTGCCTACTTCCTCTCCCTTCTCTCTTTCTCCCTTCCTTCCCTTCCTTGTTCCCCTCCCTTCCCACTCTCTCTTTAGGATCATTTCCCTTTCTGTCCATACAGTCTAGCATTCAGCATTTGTTTTATTTTTCCTTCTCTACTTGTTGCTCTCTCTTTCTAAACCTCTTCTAAGGACTTCTCCCAGCACACGGCACAGCCCGCCTCATCTACTCACTATCTTCACTTCATTCCTTTCCTTTTTCTTTGGGGACCTGGAATCAGACAATCCCCCTCCCTCTTGTAGACTACGTACCAGCTATAATGCCCTTTCACTGTTCACCCTCTGTCTTATCATATGTTACTGCACCCACTTTTCCCGTTACACCTAAGCTCTCGAGGAAAGGAGCCATTACATATAATTTGGCACACTTTCTGGGTTTCATATCCCATACATTAGAATCACTGGGCTGCAGACAAAACTCCTGCTGGGTGTTAGCCGTGTGCCCAACAGTCGTGGAACCCTCCAGCTGTCGAGACCAACAGACTCATTTTAGCCTGAAGTGTTTTCCTCTTTAAAATCTTGTCTCATTCAAGGGGATCAGAAGGAAAAAGAGAAAAACCGTTTCTCCTTACACAAGCTTCACCGTCTGGCTTCAAAGAACCAACTCTCTGACAAGTCTACATCGTCCGCTCCATCTTGGCCTCTCTGTTACCACAGGAGACGAAGTAGAACCGCTTGTGGAAGTGGTTTGTGCAATGCCAACACTTGCCCATTAGAAAGGGTACCAAGAAACCACTAACTCATTTTCACAACAATTATTTGGCCAGCATCTACCCAAACTGCATTTCTGTATTTTATCTAAAAAATTATTCAATTTTTCAAAATGCAAGCTAGAAAAATACGTTTTCAAAGTGAATTCTAAACAGGATTTTTATTTTATTTTTGCAATTTGAAATTTGGTTCTTGTTTGAAAACTTGAGACTAAAGCCCGCCTTTCTGCAGTCCCGTCATCGCGCGCGCGCGCGTGCGTGCGTGCGTGTGTGTGTGTGTGTGTGTGTCCCCCTCACGTATATAATTCTTTATTACAGTACTGTAGCATTATTCCTCAGCACTGACACTGCTGGCACTGAGGGCTTTTCTCTTTCAAAGAAAGGCAGCAACAGAGTAAAAAACATGCAACTACTAATATGGGTTTTATGAGCAGATGCAAGGTTAAAACACAGAAAATGTAAATTACATGTTGTGTTTCTCAAGCCCGACAGTGTCACTGTAACATCCATCCATCCATCCGTCTATCAAGGGTTCCCGTTTAAACACGGACAGGAGCATGAACACACGCGGAAACATATTTCAACCGTACAATACTATTAAGGTCCTAGTCACTGCCCCAAGCCCCAGTCTCAAGGAACACAGCACAGGTGTTTTTTCGTCTCGTCACGGGAGTCCCAAACATCGGCTGACTTCTGATCACATCAGTCTTGCCCTCCAAAATATCCTAGCAGGGTGACCTGATCAACCATTATCAGCTGCAGCTGAGTCGGGAGTCTGTCGTCTACCTAAAGATTTTATGCCATGGCCCATCATTCTGGTGGGGTTGGAGGGACGAGTGGTTAAGGCATCTTGCTACAGTTCCAGAAGTATGAGAGTTGGGACCCATTTCAGACTTGGTCCAAAGGCCACCCCCAGTCTATCTGTCTGTGAATGGGTATCTGCTCATTTATGCTGGGGAATCAAAGGCAATCGGATGCAACAGTCACCACACTCCTCCCTTGTTTGCTGGTGGTTACAGAAACTGGTGTAGTTTAACCACAATAGCCCTATTGGTCTCTAGAATTGGAGGCTCTCTGCCATTTTTTTTTTTGGACCATCAGTGCTCTTGTTGCATGAATGTAAACACTGTCAGAGAACAGTTGAATTTATAGTTGCCTCCAACAATTCAAATATGGAAATATAGGCCATCTTCTCCCTACTGAGACACTTACAGGCTGCACTTCAGTATCTGATTAAATTATAAATCCATTGCAAAAGAAGAGATCATGATAACCATGCTGACAGCCACTGATCGACTACATAGACGATAAAAAGCATCTTAACAAACTATTGCAAAATGAGTCTAGAAATACCATGGGTCCATTACCTTTGTGGTCTTCTTAGGCCAGCTTACAACGGGGACCCCCGAAATGGCAAGGTTCTGATCGTCATCTGCATGCTCCTTCAGAATGGTCTGTTTCAAATGAAAGCAGCATAATTAGTAACAGAGCTATTTTGGAAACTTAGGAGAGCAGCTATCAGTGGGACAGAATCAAATGATCTACCCTGATCAGCGACAGCTTCCTTTTTATCCAGGCTGACCTTGTGCTTGTGAGCAAGGATAGATTTCCAAACCTCCACATGATTCAACTCCAAATCTGTGTGTTGAACTGCTAAGATCCTTGTCATACTCAAAGCAAAGCCTCTTGTGCAGTAACAGTGCCAAAGAATTACAAAGCACATCGATAGTATTAATGGAAAACAGAATTCTGAAGCTCCACACGGAAAACGGCACAGCGTTGTGCTTGTTGCAGTGTTCAGAAGGACAGAAAGAATACCGACTTAATCGCTAAAAACCGAGGAAGAAACTGGAAGGACCCTGCTCCATTACGGCTTCCTCCGGCAGTTCTTCAGCATCAGCAGTGTAGGACAAAGCTACAGTCACAGTATCAAAGTGCTTCATAGCACACGAGACAAGGTAAGGGCATGGCAAATTGTAACTTGTCAGCTCCCTACCTCACTCAGCCCAAGCACACTAGCACGGCCGTTGGCTACCCTTCCATACTGTAGATAAAGGGGCAAAATCTGCTCCGGTTTATATGAATGAGGTAAGGCCCTCAGGGTCCCAAGCACTTACTAATGTCGATTCTGGAGGTGGGCAGGCTAGACGCAGGGTACCAAGAAAAGAGACTGGCTTTACACTGATCTTCAAGGTCCTTCTAGCCCTAATGTCTATGAATGTTTTTGCTCCAGCACGCTGTACCAGAGAGCTCACAGGTGCGTTTCACTGGATCATACAGTTTCTGCCATTGGGATTGGTTTTCATTACCGTGTAACTCAACATAGACACCCAACAGTACTCAGTTAGGAACAGTCTTTAACTACAACAAACAGTGACAGTGAGAATATCTCTGCTCTGCTCCCTGTGGCTTGTCCTGTATTTAAAACCTGAGCTGCAGAGCCCCCACGTTGGGTTCAGGTAGCTATAAAGCAAGCACCGGAAAAGTCAAAAGTCTAATAAAGATCCCACTAATCTGCTGAAGACTGAAGCCAGAACAAGCCTTAATAGGTTCAAAAAGAAATCACTCCAATAAAGTAAACAGATCTGTGGGTTGAAAATTACCTCATATTTGAACTGACAAGATAACCACAGACAATGGATGTCAATGGTGTTGCTCCTGATTACACTAACTTCTTGAAGAAGCTTAATTAGATAACAATAGACACTAGGCACTCTCAGTCCCCAGGGCAGAGTTTTAATAATTAGAAATTTCAAACAGTATATAAAAAGGAGCTTAAAATACAGTAATTGTTCGAACAGGAAACGCGCTCAAAATAACACAAAGCAGTTACATGCACTGTCCCCTTGTAATGATCCAGCCAAAGTGGGCAAATGGCACTTGTGTGCCATAGGGCCAGAGCCTGGCCCTCTTCCCAAACTGAGCACAGTGGGCTCTGGCACACGCTCCAATATGCCGCAAGATCGCCTACCACGGCAGGGCAGGATGCCATACGTGGATCTGGTTCTAAGCACCACGGGGAGCATTTGCTGGCTCCACAGAGCAATGGACTCACTGGCTAGTGCCCGTGACAGATATGGATAGCAGCATATGGACCTCTGAACTACAGCCCAGTCATATCCCTTTTACTCATACTGCGCTTTAAATGGCATTAGGCAGGCATCTCTCCGAGCTCATTTTGTGAGTGTTGGCAGATTTACAGTCCGGACTGCTCCATCCCACTTTAACTGCAGAGAAACAAGTGGCTGCTTCCAAACTCTCTCTCCTGGTGAAGACAAGCAGGATCCAGCCCCTCTTCTGGCTGTTGCTGTCCCACATGGCTAGATTTAATTATCATACATGCTGCTAAAGCCATTCTCTCTGGAATCACCTTGGTTCAGGCAGCGAGCTGTGTCTGGAGACCAGGGGTATTCAACTGGACATTTATTCACAACCATCTTTCTTAGTAGTTTACATTTCTATCCACCCCATTATTATTTATCAGAAGCTCAGAGGCAAAGGCCTCAATCCTATTTCATCTTTCTGTGCTTACGTGGCCCTTATTGCGCTGCATAACTGCAATTTTTGGCACTTCCACATGGTTTTGATCAGATGCAGCTCTGCTCATTTTGCAGCTCCCTTCCCAGCATGTGCAGAAGGCCACACAGGCACCTGGAGGAACAGAATCACCCAGTGCCAGAGAAGTCCTGAAACTTTAGGTACAGAAAAAATGTGACTGACAGATGGGAGGGAAAGGCGGCAGGCCTCCCACTTCAGCCCAAGAGCTAAAGCATGTGCTCAGGAGGCAAGAGACCTCAACTCTAGGACACTTCACCAAGAGGGCTTGAACCTCTCCCAGTTCCCAGAAAAGTGGTCTAACCACCACACTACAGACTAGGAACTGCCTGCAGCTCTCATCTTGAAGCTCACCTCTGGGCAGCCAAGAGGGGAAGATGCATGTGGCCAGGTGGAGATGAACCAGTGAGACAGATGCTGACCTTGGTATGGGCCCTGTCCTTTGCTTGTTTATCCAATGTATATTAAATGCAAGGTCTAGTAGACCACCTTCAAAAGGAGGGCTGGGGAAGCAACTGGAAAATGCCCAATGTGTGGCCTGCTGGTTACAGTACTGCACTTAGAAGTCAGAGATGCAGGTTCAAACTCCCTCGGCTGTGACTGGGAGATGCGGCCACTGAGGTCCACTCTGCAAATGAGTCTGAGGACCCTTGCTTTTAAGCATGAAACAGAGCTCTGCCTCAGAAAAGATGGAGGCTGGGACCACTTAGTGTGGACAGGAACAAGCTGAAAAAGCAGAATCTGTACCGAAGTCTCATGACTAAAGCCTCTTTGGCAGGACTGAAACCTGCAGTCATTAGAAAAGGGGTGCTTGGCCTGCAGCCCAGAGGCCAGCTATGGCTCCCACTGCCATGTCATATGGCCTGCGGGGCTCACCCTGGGTTCACAGGGTGTACACCAAAGGCCATGGCCCTGCACACAGGGTGGCGTGGGGCCAACACGGGCTCTCCGGGCCAGATTCTGACATGGGAGGGGGACTGATTGGTGCACAGACCAGCCCCAAGCCACTCACCTGACCTGCAAGTCCAAAGGCCACTGCACTAGGAGACTTGCTAAACCAGGTCCAGACATGATGTCTGCTCAAATAGGAATATTAACGCTTTCTCTTGCCAAAAAATAAAAAAATCTTACACCTCATCCCCATCTCACTGATGAGAGAAAGTAACTCAAACTCTTCTACATGCATCTAAAGCAGCAATCCTCAACCAGGGTGGTGGGCACCTAGGGGTGCCATGAGATCCTTTGAAAGGTGCCTGGTGAGGAAACAGGTGAGGTGTAAGGAGATAAAGCTGATAAAGCAGGCTCAGCCCCAGTCCCTACCTGACCTCTCTGCATTGTAATAAGCACTGTAATACGTAAGTTAAGTTTTTGGGTGCTGCTCAAATCATGCGAGTTATGGAGGGTGCCTCAAATCTACTGAGGAGTGCCTTGAGTCTAAAACGATTAAGATCCACTGATCTAAAGGACGTCATTCTTTGCTGATAATGGCTCAGCTGAATTCTTTACATCTTCACAACATCCATTTCTCTCCTCGAGACCTGCTGCTGTCACCACGGCCCTCCCAATGTAATGAAGCAGGTAGCCATGTTTCAGACCAGCATTATGTTGTCTGTCTGCATGCAGTCCCTCGGCTTTCTAAATCTTCCTCTTCTGGAAGGTGAGCACAAGGGTGCCCCACTTCACCTGGCAGACAGACATTTGACACGCCAGGTCAAAGCAGCAATGTCTCAGCCTGCACTACCCAGGCTTCCACTGGACTCAGCCAGCTGTGATGATGAACTGCCAGTTTTCAGTTGTTTCTTAGTTAACAATTTCACATGAAACATGATAACTGGGACCTCTCTGTATCCTGCCAAGTCCCAGCCTGGAACGTGGTCTGTTTCCTGTTGAACTCCAAGCCTCTGACAGAAGATCTTAACATTCCCACTGAAAACCCTCTTGTAACTTTTCATATTCGAGACAAGTAAATACAGAGTCTTAATCCTCTCATTAGCTACTCCTGAATATCATCTTTCGTTTACAAAGAAAGCAAATCTCTGCCTTTTAAAGGATGAGAATAAAGATAACTTTCAAAATATGCCTGCAGGTTGTAATGTAGTGATGCTCCTCTACACACCACCCACTTCAAGGGGCATCAACTAAACCTGGTCATCTCAACAAGGAACAAACTGTCCAGCTGTACTTATCTGAATGCCCACGACGTTAGCTCTTTGGCTACTGAGACCATTAGAGGGGATCTTCATGATATGCTGTGTGGGATATTTATTTTGTTCCCATAAATGGGTCAGGCGTGAAGGATAAGGATACCACCACTGAAAACGAGATTTACCCTACAGACTTTTGCCACAGTGACTATGCCAGTCAGAGGGACAATCCCTGCCTGATAACTGTTGTGCTGGCAGAAGCCCTTAATGCAGATACTTATTGCAGGAGAATTGGGCTAGTTTATGGAAGATGGTTCAACAATCCCAGTACCAACACAGTTTTGATAGCAAAGCAATCTGCACAAAGAGTATTTTGCTAGTGTATTATACTGGTACAAGCAGCTCAGCGTAGGCACTGACCAGCTAGGCACCTGATCTTCAGCAAGGGGAAGCTGAGTCCATGGTTCTTGACACAGTCTGTAGATTTCCTGAAGGCAGTCAGTAGAGCTGAACACGGAGTATGTAAGTTTTTTTGGAGCATCTGCACACTTTACTGTGCAAGACATTTCTTTTTGGCATTTCAAGCAGGTACAGCTTAGTTGCAAGTGCCACCTGGACCATGGGTGAGTCTTGGAAAAGGAAAGCTATCACCCTTCCTTGCCCACTTCTATTGCCACCCCAAATTCAAGCCCTGGCCTTGGCACTTAACTCTCATTTCAGTTTATCTGGAGACCATGCAGAAAGCAAGTAATTAGATCAGGTCTGATGGATGGAGTGGCTGATGAAAAGCAGAGATCAGAACTGTGCTCATGGGAGCTTACAAAGTATGTGCCATCCGGTTCCAGATTCCATGTCCATGGAAGATGGTCTTGCCTATTTACCAGTCCTCTTTAAACGGGTTTGGGGCCATTTCTAAACAGCTGTGACACAGTTTATACTGGGGGGGAGGAACAGACCTCCACTTCTACCCCAAACACACTGCCTGCCTCACAGAAGAGCCACATAAGCCACAGTAAACAGGGCATCTCTAATCTGTTGTACAAAGTAGGATACATTTGAAAATAGAGAAATAAATGAAAACCACCACACACAGAGAGGCAGTGCACGGTTAGATGTCTAACCACAGGCCTGGGTGTTAGTGCTCATGGTTCCACCGCAGAGCCAACAATGAGCAGTACAGTCTATCTCCACAACTATCACACACATCTAGAAGGCATCGATAAGAAAAGAAAGGATGAGATATTCAAAACAGGACAAGGAGTCCTAATCAACAATGTACAATATGCTGATGACTGTGTTTTAAAGCTTCTGCTAAGGAGAAGTTCAGAATGTGCTTTAGTGCCCTGAACAGCATTGGCAAGAGTTACAGAACGAGAATCCACGTGAAGGAAACTAAAACAATGACCATAAGCAAACTCCATAAAGCACAACGCTGGTAAGGTCTACACTTCAATGGCCAAATGGAGGACTCAGTGTGTAGCTTTCTACTCTGATACCATCAAACACACACTCTTGCAACATGTTCATTCAACACCTTCCAAGGCCTCTATACTGTAGAAAATTAAGTGTATCCTGCCTGAGATTATAAAATGTGACATCAACCCTCCTGTATGGCTGTGAGAACTAAACATGTAAAGACACCAAGATGAATTAGGGCATCTGAAGTTTGATACTACAGAACGCTTGAAAAAAAAATCAGCTGGACAGCCAAAAACACAGATGAAGAAGGATTGAGAAGGACAAATATACAAGTAGAGCTACTTGAAATACTAGGTAAAAGATCTCCCTGTGGGTATATCATCCAGTCACCAGACGACTGGGTTCCAACACCTGTCCTACAAAGCAAAACAGAAGGGGGGAGAGAAATCAGGAAGGAGTAAGAGAGCCAGTTGCTTTGGAAGCCCTGTAACATGGACTGGTACGCAGAAGAGGCTGTTTAGTTTACAGCTTTGTCATGACTGTAAAAGATGGGAAGTAGAGACAGGCAGCCTCCAGATTAGAGATGGCACTTCCACACGGTGGTTATGGACAGATTATACACAGAAGTAAAGAATTTATAAAGGAAGGGCTGACAAAAGTGGAGCCTTGTCTGTTCTAACTGGAACTGATCAGATAACAACCAGACACTGACTGACTATCTTTACATTGCTCTTATGACAAAGAGAAGTAGAGATCTTCCTGCTATACATAAGGGAAAACCAAGGCATGAGGAGGTTAAATGACTCACTGAAGGTGACACAGCAGATCTGGGCAGAACTGGGACTAGAACGCACTGAAAGTCATGAATTTTGCCTGTTGTTTAGATTTCCCTATCATCTCTACAGCACAAGGGCATCGCTCTTGGACAATCCCAGATATCACATTACTTCTCTAGAAGAATTTCTGTCAGTGACACTCATACCACCATCTCTGAGGACAGAATTAGACCAGTGAACAGTAAGCATCACCTTGCTATGAGCAATAGGGAAAATAAAGCGGAGAAAAGGGAAAAATGGAAAGAAAGTGACAGAAAACTAGATGTCTGTTTTTTCAGCACCAGAGTCAAGTATATGAATATTGTACCTTTCACGGGGCTCTGTTAATCAGATAAACTTGTAAAACAAGCGGATTAAAAGGGCTGATTAATAATGATTTCTATACTAAACAGGATTCTCTCCAGGCGTGCTTTTTGCAACAGGTATCGCACAGTACTGCCAGGGCACTCGGACATCCTGACACAGAGGGCAGCTTTGAGAGCCAGTTTGGGTCAAATTAAATGAATCAGACTGCAGATCCCTGTAACCAGAGTACGGAGATATGGTCTGTGCAGACTACAAGGTCCAGCATGCAACATTCCCCCTTCCACATCACAGTAGCAGAAAGGTCAGATCAGAAGGAAGCTCTGGGCATTAGCAGGCTTCCCTGCACTGAAGATGAATATGTGCAGACACCAGCTTCCCTCTCCTCACCCATTATGGTGTACAGCCCCTGACATACAGATTGCATGGCTGTAAAAGTTGTCATACCCACCTTCATATCCTCCAGCAGAGCCTGGGGATCCTCAATGCCTTCTGGAACGCACTTCTTGTTCTCTGGGAGGGATTCAAGCTTTTCAACCAGGGCTTTCAAACCCTTCAATTCAAACTCTGTGAGGTGAGTCCATTTGGTGGAGACTTCTGTGGCTGGTGACCCTGTGGGCGTTTTGGGATAGTCCGTGGGGGTTGTCGACTTCACGCTGTCATCTGACTCATTGGACAAAGTTCTTTTGAGGTACCGCATTACTGTGGCTTTCTGCTTCCTCCCAGCCCCTTCCTTCCCCTCGGAGTGTGTGCTGTTGGGCGAGGAGGAGCCGTCACCCACGGGTTTGGGGTTCTGATCCAAGCTGTCATCCTTCTCCTCCCGGGGGTGGGCATCACAAGATTCTTCATCCATGTCTAACCAGGAATCTGATGAGAAGCTGTCTATGCTGCGTTTTCTTTTTGCATCTGAAAGAGAGAAAGATAAAATTATTTTTTCCTAGTACAGAACCTGCATCGTTCCCACCTGATAGGACCAGCTATTGCCTGATCCGAGAGGCACAGGGTACCACCCAGCTCTTACACGTGTCAGAGAGTAAACTTCATTCAGGTGTTTTTAAACAGTTTGGTTAACTTGTATTCAACTCAAGTCATCGAGCAACATTTAAGAAAAGTGTGATCCATGCAAAGTTTCAGTCTCCCACCTGCTCCAGGGGAAAGCCAAGACCAACGGTCAAACTCCTAGAAGAAGGTTTTGGACTGGATATAAGGAAAAACTTCACGGTTCGTGTGACGAGACTCTGGGATAGACTCCCAGTGCGGTTGGTGCAGGCACCAACCTTGGAGATCTTCAAAAGGAGACTGGACGCACACCTTGCTGGGGTTATCCGACCCTGGCAATCCTTCCTGCCCAGAGCAGGGGGGGCTGGACCTGATGAGCTCACAAGGTCCCTTCCAGCCCAAGACTTCTGTGAATCTGTTCAATTCACAGGGGAAAAGCTCACAAGTCACACATTTGATATGCATTTTAAACTTTCCAGCAAAACCAAACGTGACCAGATTTAGATTCTTCCTATTTCTAAGATAAAAGCCAAAACAGGAGGGAGAAAAAAATGCCTTTTAAAAGTCACCATCACTCCTTCAAGCTTTCTTTAGGGATCACAGAAGAGACTGCTTTGCCTATTTTTTCTTTGGCAGATCATTGCCAATGAAGTTAACATAGTAATGGTGGATTTTGCAAGATAGCTCTCTTCCAATAATCTTGCAGCATCATAAATGCCTCTTCTAACTGTGAGAGGAAGGAGTAAATAATGCTATTTCAGAGATGGGGAATCTGAAGCACAAGGACAAGAGGAGAACAGCCCAATGTAAAAACTGTTACTGTTATTAACACAGCCTCAAATGCACACAGGGCAACTTACAGATAAATAGAAAGGTGAAGTCTCCAATTGGCAAAGCTTATCCTAGCCTGGGCTTTTTCCACTGAAAATCCCACTCTCACAGAGTCCAGGTGAGTGCCCGTGGTGACAGCATTTCCAAAAGGTGCTGGAGAAAACTCCAAAGCTCTGATCTCTTAAGTGCAATGTTGATCAGACCAGTTCTTTCACAGAAGAAGACTAGCACCTTCTTTGCTGCTAATGCTGGCAGAGTTGAACTGGGGTTAGCAACAAAAGGGAACGTCTAAGAAAAAATACTCCTGGAGGCAGAGTTAATTAGAGCTTGCACTAGTGACACAGACTAGCAACAGAAATCTATCCACAGGAGGACGAAAGGGGATGCAGCAAAACACAAGCAAATGAGCAACTAAGACCATTTCTCTCCAGTTTTCATTTGCTTATTTTCACCGCGCCAAAAACCTGAGTCCACCCACAGTTTGTCTTCAGTCAAAACTTCTACTGGACCTCCCCACAGATTTTGCCTGAGAAAGGACAGCGGGATCTGGCTACACTACAGCAGTAAAACTCCCAGGAAATACAGAAGCAGAAAGGCTAAAAGGTGCCACTGCAAATCTCCCTGACAGAAGAGCCAGCACCTTGTCTTGCACAGGTAGTGCCGTCTCCTCGGGAAGCATGAACAGCACTTACCAGGGAGAAGAGAGAAAGATAAAGGCAGCAGCAGCCAGTTGTAAAATGGCTACTCTTGGGCTACCCTTGCTTAATTGCTAACTTCAAAGGGCTTGTGCCAGAAAGGTATTCTGGGGGGAAAAAAATCCTTAAAAGGCTTTGTGTACACTGGTAAAATGAATTGCATTAGTTAACACCTGATAGAAAGGAATGGGGCAGTTCACACTTATCAGGGGCTGCTGGGCTATTGTTTGGTGTCTGCAAAAATCAGGCCATGCATCATTCTTTCAGTTATATTTGGGCCCATTTTGAATGCTCTCTTTAATACCGTAATGGCTAGAACCTAATTTTGGAGGGAGTTTTTTTAAAGCTGTGTTGTTTTTTTAATCCCAGATTCTGAAGAACAAAACAGCAATCCCAAAAAATAAGTACTGGGCCACTTGGATCAGGCTGGACATGGCCAGATTGAGTCCTGGCAAGAGCAAAGGTAAACGTCCTCCTCCTCTCTCCCCTGCAGTAAAAGCGTTAACATAATCAAATGCAGCCTTCAGTGGCGGTGCATCTATTATTCACACGGTGATAAAGGAAGGGAAGGCAACACCTTCCATAGGTCTCTGCTCACTCTCCCCAGTGCTGGGTTACCCTGCCCCCCAGCTTTGTCTATGCTAGGAAACTGAACTGTGCTAGGAAACATAACCCAACTTTTAGGTTAAAAAAAAAACACTACCTTTTTAAACGCCATTCAAGGCTGTCTACAAGTCCCCAGAGCTGAAAGGGTTTTATAGTGCTGGACTGTAATCACACATTCCAGAGGCACCAGGAGAGAAAATAACTTACCCAGGGTCACCCAAAGCTGGTGGTAGAGGTATGACCTGATCCCCTAGGCCTCACTAGCTCTGTTAACTGGAACCTCTGTTAACATCTGTTTGTTTAAAATGTCACCTGTGTTACGTATTCAGGGGTCATTAGCAGGGGTAGGGAGGCCTTGCCAGCTGCCAGCACCAGGCACAGCTGCAGCAGAGCCAGTGTTTGGGGAAGAGAGCAAGTCCCCGCATGAGACTGGTGTCCATGGCCCCGGTTCTTTGATGTAGCTGCAGGGGTGCAAGTCATGCATAGTCACAGCACTGAGACAGTTTGCACTGGTGTAGGCAGGAGTTATGATTCAGAGGAAAACAAGACATTAACCCCAAACTGGGAGTCCACTGTCTCCTTTTCCATTTGCTTGTTGTCCCAATCTCTCTAAAGAAAAGGGCCTTGCTGACCGGAACTGAGCAACTCCCCCAGCTAAGACCACCTGCAAGCTAGTTTTCCAGGCTGTTTCCTGGTTTAGGCTCACACCTGGCTTAGGAAAGCAGCTTAAAGAACAGTCCTAACAAGGGTTTGGTCCATTCCTTGCTGTCCCTTTTTAGACCATCCTACCCAAAGCATGGTCTAAATAGCCACATGGGAAAGGGGTCTGAATCTTTCAACATGCTTAAATGCTTTGCACTGTTCTCACTGTTCAAAGCAATTTATTAAATGGATTTAAAAAAAAGTCTTCCCCTGGTATCAGCAGCTGCCCATAAGACTGAGATCCCAGCTGATGACTAAGTATGGCACCGGGGGGCCTGTGGCCATCACTGTAAATGTCATATACAAGCTATGTCTTTTAATCTACACCTCTGCCCTTGGCCTAGGCATGTCTTGCTCCAACCCCAACCAAACCCTTCCAAAAAAGGCAGGAAGGGAAACAGCATGAGCACATCATTCTGGGTATGGGAACTTTGTGGTGATGTGGTTCCATGCAAGGAAGGGACATGCGTCTGAGTCCCAGGCAAAGAGCTAGGAGCTTCTTGCTTCTAAAGCAGGCTTATTCAACATACAGCCCGCAGGCCGCCATATAGCCCTCCAAGCTGTTTTCTGAGCCCTGAGGTGCTGCGATGGGAAACGAAAGTAAACGTTGTACTTTCGTTTGTGGGGGAGTGATGTGCTACCACTTCCTGTGAGGTCTTTGAATATGGCTCACTGGCCCACTGGGTGATAAAAAGTTCATGATCCAGCCCCACAGTCAAAAAGGTTGGGCACCCCTGTTCTAAAGCAACTGGCTCCTTCCATCAACGCCAAGTCCTCCTGAGATCAACAGCCCAGAGGGCCATTGCGCTTAACTCCTGCCCCTTTCTACAGCCCACAGAACACAAGATGGTGATGCAGGCTGCATCATATCTGACTCCTCTCCAGCCTGAATGACTCTCTTATAGCTGGGTCAACTGTGGGCAGCCTTTGGCCCCGGGACAGAGTGGGGCCTGAGTTCATGCTCTACCACAGAGGCGGGCAAAATGCGGGCCGTGGACCACATGCAGCCTGCCAGGCCATTCTATCCAGCCCACGGGGCCCCTAAAAAATTTAGAAAATTAATATTTATCTGCCCCTGGGTGCCTGTCATGCGGCCCCCGATGGCTTGCCAAAACTCAGTAAGCGGCCCTCCGCCTGAAAAAATTGCCCACCCCTGCTCTACCAGCTATAGTGAGACACCTGACCACTCTGCCATATACCCCATTAAGTCCATATTTGTCTTTGGGTATAACATTTCACTTCCCCTTCTCAGTTTGCCCACCTGTACAGCAGAGATGATTGTACACAGCTGCCTTCTTTAACAGAGGATTGCATTCTTTGAAAAGTAAAGGCCAACAACAGCTAGGTATAATAATTAATGTTCTTAACTTCCCTCCAGCAGTACATAGGAAACAATATGCATTCTTCTGTTGCAAGAGGAACCCCCATTCATAGCCCATATCTGGCTCTCTGGCTTGTGAGCAATAGGTTTCAAGTAAGTATTTTTATATTGGCATGTTAAGAGAAATGATGGCATCATTATTGGCACAAAGCACTAAGAACTCCAGAGGAATCTGATTGAATGGAACTTCCCAGATAAAAATCATTTAACATATTCCACGATTTCTCTGTCAATGAGCAGATCCACTACACTGTCTGTGAAAGGGGAAAAAAAGGCATAGCACCTTCACCATCACAGAGGATGCTTTTCTATTATCTACCAGGCTGAATGTACAGTCAGAGCCCTCCTGTGAAAACATCTTACAGTGGAAATATTAAAAGCTGCAGGATACAGAGCGAGCATGTTACCGACTAGCGCCGCATCTTCTCCCAATTACTCTTTGTCAGTTCAGTCTCAAGATTCCTATCTCATTGAAGGACACATTTAGGTCAATTGCAGTTGAAAATGTCCAGCACGGACTTGATAATGATAAGAATAAGAATCCCGAAGGCATGTCCATCTCGAAGCGGCACATGTTCAGATCTGGTAGGGAACTCATATAGAGTGCCCTTTTTGATCCCAACCAGCAAGACGAATGCCACAGTTGGAGGGAGACGAAGAATGAGATTCAGTGCCTTCTCAGCTGCCTGCAATTGCTGTTATGTCACTGCTTCCCCTGATCTCCTGCCCTCCTATGGAACAGATCAGAGAAATAACAGACTCTCACACGCTAACCAGGTAGGAAAGCTACTGCCTGGAAAGTTATTCTGTGACTGAGGAACAGGGAAAAAAACAAGGTCTCTTTCTTCCATCCCATTTCAAATGTAGCCATTGTATTCCAGGATCTCTATGTCCACAAAGGAAATCCTTATGCTGTAACTGTAGCACCACAATTATAACACAATAACTACACCAGTAAATTCCTCAATTTGGATGATCTTTCACATTGGGACTCACCTCTGAATCTGGGGTTCGTAATCTCAGCATACTTAAACATGATGTAATAAAACTAGGAATGCAATCATGGGAAGTTTACCCAGTACCACATTGCACAGACCGGAACAGAACCAAAGGCATCTATTACTGAAGGGGGAGCAAAATCAGGAAGGCAGCAAAATCTGGGAGACTCTCAATGGACCCATCATGACAGCAACTGCTGGCCTACCCAAGTGTCATCTGAAGCAGCAATCTGTTGATACCATCAATGTCACGTTTTTGGAGCCGTTTACTCTGGAAAATACCAGAGAGGAAGTTCTGCTTTCTAGACAGCCTTGTCCAAACTCTGGAGATGGAATTTTAGGGAATTAAAATGTAATTTCCTAGACTGGAATCTGCCTAGGACACTGGGATTAACACCCTTTCTTACATGAAAAATACTGTCAGATGGTTACATAAACCCAAGTAATCGTGACTTTCCAATGAGAACATCTAAGAACAGCACAGCAAGCTCCACCATCACATGGGGCACTGGCTCCCCCCAGATTCAGTAAAAAGCCCATGCAGTGAGTTCCAGAAGCCACCCCCTTCCCCTCCCACTAAAGTCTTAGCCAGGCCTCCCTCCCTCTTCTTAGGTTCTGGAATCCAACAAGGCTACTTTCTGCAGCAGAAGGGATTCAGAAAAGTCAAAAAAGCAGCACACCTTGAGGCATCCCTAAGGATGAAATACAGCAAGCTTCAAAACCCCAAAAGGTATAGATAAGCAGAATGTCAGCACATGTGATGCCAGGGAAAAGATATGGTGAGGGGAAAAAGCAGCAGCAACCAGCCACAAACAGTAAGGCTAATCATAAGAGATTCCCCTAAAGAATGCATGGGACTCAGGAGACCAAGGAGTGAGGAGGACAGTCAAAGCTAATGCAGAGGCTGCAGAGAAGTTAAATACTTTACTTCAGTACTCACCAAGGAGGCCTGTGGGAAAATGCTTCCTCAAAGGGGGCTCTTATGGGAAATCAAGACATCACTAGCAGAGGGAGCGCTCTCCCAGGAAGAGAAGAGGATACAGCACCTTAAGGACCTCAACAGCTCCAAAGGAAATATGAAGAAGTCAAAGCACCCAAATTCTTGAGAACATTTAACCTCCTGACTCTTCTACACAGAACCCCTGCTCCTGAGGTTGGTACTGCTTATCTCCTGAACCCCAGGTGATTCACCAAGTGCAGACCGGGGAGTTTCACTTGAGTACTGGAGACATGACCACAAAGCATAACCAAGAGCAGGATAAGGAAGCATTAGAAGCCACACAACTCAGTGAAAACAGCCAGCACAGCTCCTATGAAGAGGAAATGCTGTCTCTGCTCTGGTCTGTTAAAACTCTTTGAGAAAAATAGCAAATGTGGTGACTAAGTGGATACGAGACGTGACTTTGAACAGCATTTGGTGGCTCCTTCACAGCAAATTACTTAGGAGATAAGTTCCTGCCATGAATTAAAAAACAGCTTGTGACAAAGATGCATAAATGTCCGCTTCTTAAAGGGGGACAAAGTGTACCTAGGTGCCAGGGAGCCAAGGTATAACACCAGTGCATATGGACATACTAATGACATGAAGTTGGAGGCTCCAGCCTGCAGATGAACTCCGCTTTTGCCAGAGACCATTTAGGAGCATAAAACATGTGTGTCTGTCCAAGCCAGTGAGGGTGGATCAAGATCCTCACGTGTGTGATGAGGGTTGGTAGTGTTACTGGAACGTACTGGCTACCTGTTTTTGATCACACCTCCCTCTCGTGACTGATGCTTTGTTACCTCATGCAGCAGTGGTCTGCACTTTGGGTGTGGAAGTTCCCAGGCTCTATCTCTTGTATGCCTCATGCCCAACCCTACAAAAGCAAATTCATATGGATATGATGGACAACCTGGGGAAAAAAGTCAATCTTCCAACAGGTTACTGAGAACTAGGGAGAGCTAGATTAAAGAAGGGATTTGAACAGTTACTAAAACATACTTGATTGTCCTTTGTTGCTACAGGAACAGGAGCCTTCCTTACACATAAACCCATTCTCACTCCCCGGGCCTAGTGGCTATAGAGGAAGAGACTGTCTCACTGGATCTGCCATGTAAAATCTTAGTGCGCTTTGGCCTGTGAATGAACTGCCTTCCACAGCACCCAGAGACTGGCACAGCTTCCCACTTCCAATGCTCAGCTCAGCACTCGCTCCAGCTCGACCTTACAAACTGCCCTGGCCCTGGCCCCTCGTGCCTGCCAGGTATGAGCTGTCCTGATGTAACCCTAAGGCAGATGAAAAGGTGCCTTGACCTTAGAGCACATTCTCATTACTCAGTGCATCCTTCCTCTCCTCAGGGCACTTCAGAAACTTGCTTTTTACATCTAAGTGTTTCTACAGGCAGCAGCTCTTCAAAGATTGCTGCTGCTTCTCCAGTCACCTGCAGCATCCATCTTTTATCCTGACTGCTCCAACAATTCTTGCCCTTGTTTTTCATGGTGACCTTTTCCCCTCCAGGGCTTCGTATGTTCTTTAAAGTTCAAACCACTGAAAACTGTGGGGGCGGGGGAGTGAGTGTGGAGGAAAGCCAGGGCCTTAGGAGTTTCTGGCTCACCAGCTCTTCAGGGGGGTTTCAAGATGTCACCCCCCTCTCATCCTTTCTAGTTGATTGCCCCAAAGTTCCCTATTTTTAACCCTTTCCCCACCGTCACACTGGTCACTCTGCAAGACCCCATGTTCTTCTGGCAGCGGGCATCTAAGGATTCTGGATCTGCCATACAATTCTCAGTTCAAGTCACTGTAGTGCTCCTGAAAAGAGCTGGCCCCACAGCCCATGGGATATCACAGTACTCACTGTATCCAGAAAACAGGTACAACAGGCGCAGTGAAGTCCAAGCTTCTCCATGCTGCCTCAACCCTAGCTGAGAATCACCACTTCCAGAGCAGGGAAGAGTGTTTAACCACCGTGCCCCATCAATCCAATGATTTAATCTAGTGAGACTGCTGCCACAGGGCTTAATTGGTGCCAACTGTTTTTCTTATATGCTGTTGATGCCACCCCAGTAGGAGCAGGAGGCGAGACACATTTCACAAGGGTCACCGGACTGCTATTGGTCATTACAGAGCTGACACAGCAGAGGCTTCCCTGAGAAGGGAAAGGCTCCATGTCTCATGATCAATCTCCTGAGCCATCCAGTCTTCACACTTAAGTTGCTCTGAAATGTATTGATCTCATGCATCTTACTGATCCTGAACCCCTGCCTCTTGAGCAGGAAGAAACTCTTTCCTACACTACGTCCAAGGACTGCAACACACTTTTCCAGGGGATACAAAGGCCAACAGTTTTGTCCTTACTTCTTTGAAAAGGCAATCCCAGGGGCTAATTCACTCCTTCCTGTAGGACAAGACTGCAGAAGGGAAAAGCTACTCAGCACAAGGCAGATAGTAAACTTCAGGAGTTCCTGACTCACCAACTCTTCAGAGGAGGGGTTTGATGACCCACAAAGAAGCCATGAAATGTGACCTTCCATCCACACTAATGTGCTGAGATCTGCAGGGAAATCCCTTTGAACCTCAGACTGTCTCCACAGTGTCAGCTCTGGCAGCACCACTCACTCAAGTGCAATGCCATTCTCCTCTCTGTTGCTGGCCACTCTCTCCACAACCTCTGCAGTTTGCAAACATTGTTTTCACAGTGATGTGCACTGGGTGTTTACAGTGGGGGACAAGGGTTAGATGATGATACTTTAGCTCCTCTGCAGTTCCGGGTACACCACTCTGATTCAGCTAATACTTCAGCTCCTTGTAGCCCTTCTGAGCCCCAAATCATCAGGATGACGTGGCCCTGTGTCCCTTTCAATGCGAAAAAGAGCTGACAGGCCAGACTAGAACTCAGGCTGTAACACCTGCTCCAAGCTCATGACTGCACAGATACCTGATGCTTTCCCACTTTGGTAACTTGCATCCATCTCCATCATGGTCCATTTTCAGCTACTGTTTTTCAGTTATTTTCACTTTCCTGATTCTAAGAACTGAAAGTCAGTCCCCAGTTTGGGAGAAGTCAAACCAGAGATTAAAGGAAAGAAAAAGGAGCCAGATCTAGTGGCTGATAGAAATGCATTCTGCTGATGAAAAGCGCTATAAAAGGGCTAAAAATCTAACCCACCAGAGCACACTTGCAATGCAGATATTTCTGGAGGATAAGGGAATATGCCAAACATGACAGTAAATCCACAAATGTTTGGCAGATCATCTAAATATAAACATTACTGAAACCAAGAAATAAATAAATCTGAAATTATTTTTTCTGGGATCCATTTGCTGAAGGAATGCTCAATAAATATCATCCAAGGAAGGTTGGCGCTTCAGTGAAATGCTTGAGTCTCACATCCTCCCCACCCCCCAATACTGAAATAATTCATTAGGTTCTCTACAGTTCTCCACTTTAATTTACAATCTGCTTTTCAGAAGCCAAAGCAGTGACTAGCCTAAGGTGCCAGCATCCATTCTGAATATGCACTCGAAGGATTCACTCACCAATTAACATTGATTCTTTCTGGTACTCTTTGCTGAGGTGACAGCGCTGGGTCACACAGGACACGTATCTCTCCAGAACATACCAGCACATTTCATAGTAGAAAGGATAACGGAATTTGGCATGCACCTGAAAGCAAGATTGAGACTGTCAATCCATGTGGAAGGGAGAGAAGTTCGCAGCATAAGGGCCAGTCATCATTCTCATCATGTTATCAAGAGCACAAACAGTATGCAGGAGGGGGAGGGGGAAGAGGGTGGGAGCCGAGTGAGATGTATGCCTTCAGCATACGAAATGAGGAGACTGCCTGCCTGCCTGCCATGATAGCATCGTTTCTTGGTTCACTAAACTGTACCCTCTTGGGGTGATGGGAGAGGAGGGGGGTTGTGTTCTTGCGAAATCATGGAACTGATGGATGGCCCCCGGAGGTATTATTTACCTACTGTATAAACATAGGGTGGTCACATACAGATGTTAGTCACCAAAATTCAAGTTAAAATAAAGGTGGGCTCTTTTGACTTCCTAAATATTATTCCATGATTTGTCAAAACGACAGCATTACCTACAGAGAGCCAAGCAGGAAACACGCTCCTTGTCAACTGTGGTCTTTACAGTACAACAGTTTGATTAAGGAATGGAACACACACAAAGTCGTGATGATTGGTATGTAACGTTCAAACATTAAATAAAAAACCCTCCACATTTCTTCTACCCTGCAATATATTGGTAACCAATTAACATTTGCCCTGCACAGAACAGAAAAGCAGGATTCAACCAAAAGATCCTGCCAGGATAACCCCTTCCCCTACGTCTCAGACCTTTTGTTCTCACGCTGGAAGCTGATTCTTTAGTGCTATGTATTTGTGATACTATTTCACATTTAAAAGGAAAAGAAACTGCTATCTTCCCCCACCTGATTGTCTAAGTATGGGAGGTCCCTGTGCTAAGGAATAAACTGGGGAGTCTGAATTGGGGAGTACGCATGTACCTAGGCAGATGTTTTTAAAAAATGGATGCCATTCACAGGTACGTACACCAAACAGCTCTGCCTCCTTGCAGGCGCAGAATGTGCATTATGTGGACTTGAGAAAACCTTGCATGCATTCATTGCCCCAGGATGACAGGCATGTTCTGTGCAGTTTAACTCTCAGCTAACCAACAGGTCTAGCACACATGTCCGCTCACCTTTAACAAAACGTGGATTTCACCAGAAAAGATCGTTGTCTCAGGCAGCCCGTTTTTAAAAAATAGGAATCTAAAAAGATTGACTAAATCCAGCAGCTGGAAACTCAAAATGAAACCTGGCTGAAGGGAACAGGTTTTTACACACCTGTCTGGGGATCTGAGCATCCACTTGCAGGATTTAGATACCTTGTTAGAATAGCCACATTTGAAAATCATGCCCAGCACGGAAACAAAAATAGCCTTGCATCTGCTCCCAGGATCGGGGAGACAGAAACACTTTCCACAGAGAAATAAAATGTAATTAAAGACAGATAAACTGGGCTGCCCCACCAATTGCACTGCAAGGTATTGGATAAATAATCCAAAGTAAATCCAGGAGCTGAGACCTCATAAACTCAGCACAAATACAGATGGTAAATCTGAACCAGATGCTGTCACATACTACTGAGTGATGTACCCCGTACTGCTTCATCATTCAAACATCCCCCTATGGCATGCAGTATAAAGCAATGCACTTAAACAAAACAAAACAAACAAATCAAAACACAGCCTAAATGTAAGAGCAACATTCATCCCCAGGGTGATGCTATATTGGAGAATCCTTTTTCCTTTTGGCTTGGTTACATGTCAGAAAGAAAAGATCAAGTCACTTATCACTATTACAGAACACAGGGGAAATTAGCCATGCTAAAATATATGCTAATAAAGGAACTCAAATTTTTCCAAGAGAGCACTGCAGGAAACAAAATTTGCAAAGAATTGACTTACAAACAGGAAGCCGCCTTCCACCCCTCAGCCTTCAAAAGGTTTTCAGCCACATGCCTGGGAATATTAAAGACATCATTGCTCAACATTTGTTGACAGATTCTGAGCTTCACCAAATTTAGTTGTTACCAATGTTAATTCAATGTGAAAGACAAGGCAGTAATGCATGCAGTGCTCCCATTATGTATATCAATCTTTAATATTCAATTTGAGTTCCTAATTGCCTCGCTATCAATGTTCCAACCCACAGCAAACCCCTCCATGCCTCTGTAACTCACTATTTGCCTGAAAAGGCTCTGCTTTTACAAACCTTCAGAAGTAAAAGCCACTGTGTGTACATACTGTGCAAAGATCTACAGTGCCTTTTTGCTACCCAGTTCAGTCTAAGGTTGACAGTGGCTTAAGAATCTCTTTAATGTGCTTGATGTAAATGTAAAAAGGAGTACATCAATTATGATCCTCCAAGATAGTTATTAGTTCTAATGGATGTGAACTGGCTGGCATATATGCCCATATTTTTTTCCACTGTATATCCACAGGTCAAATGAACTTTTATTTGAAAAAAATAATAATTCTGAAGCCAAAAATTATTGACAAATTTGAAGTTTAATATCTCATATATGCTCTGTCAGGAGATGACACCCCACACTAGCAAAGAGAGAGAGTTGATCATGTAATAGGCATTTTCCAGCTCTAACTTCTATGATTGATAATTTACAATCCACTGAATGCATTTTTTTAATTATTCCTGTATAGCAAGAAAAATCCTCTCTGGAGTATGATCCTTTCTAGAGTTCAAAGTGAAATTATTTGAGAGACTTATACAAAAAAAGTACATATAAGACACAATCTTCTCTAGAAATATTAATCTCTTACACTATGTCCATAAAAAAGCATTATAAATGCTTCTTGCATTTCATCACTGTAATCACAGTATTTTTTTTTAAATACTTTTTCATTAAATTGAATGAAAAAATTCAAATTGATCAATTTTAAATTTAAACTTTAAGTTCCAGAAAATAGAATCAGTAGCAAACACCATCATCTGTGAGTGACCACCTTACGTATATATTTTGAATGCTTTTGTCTTTGAACATGTTCAAATACATTAACAGGGCTAAATTTAGATTGACTGAAAATACGTTGACATGTTTTCTTCTTTGGTGATACTGGAGCCATTAACACTTCTATGCCAAAATGACGAGTCTCTGCATGGCAGCCTGCTTTGCTGTTACCCAAACTGGTCTAGCAGAGAGCTAAACAGCTTGGCCTGTTTGACTGGCTGTTAATTGGCCTCTAGGAAAGCCAGACTGGAAAATGAAAATCTCTGCAAACTGTAAGGCTAGCGAATATTTGTTTACCTCGACTGCACATTAGGAGCTGTTTCCAACAATAGACATGTTTTTTATTACTCCTTAAAAAACTATTTTTAAATGGCTATAACCCTCTTAAAAGTCTCCCAGGGATATGAGAAATTAAGCTAGAATAAGCATGACAAGTGTATAAATTAGACGATTTTATCGGACTCTAAATCAGCATTACTGTTTCAACCATGTATTACTCTCGTCTTAGCAGCTAAGACAATAACAACTGCACCTAGCCTAAAAATGGCTTTGAATACTAGCAATCAAAGATGATTAAGCATTATACAGCAGGTTTAAACACAGTGAAACCTCCATAAAATTGCTCTGTGCAAAATCAGGAGAGGAAAACACACCCATATTACACTTTGATTTGAGTGTGGCAATTACTTTGTGAATCACGTCATGTAATTTACTTCTGTGCTATACACAATGAAAAGATCGATACTCACGAGAAAGCCATCTGCAGTGTATTCACTGGCAAATTCATGTTAAAGTACAGTGCACATGATCTACTCAGTTAAGATTATTGGAATAAAGAAGAAATTACAATATTTGATCCACAAAACAAACGGAATAGTACACCTCAGCATTCTGTTCATTTTGAACACATTTACTCCTTAGAGATTCTCTTTTGACATTTTCAGCATTTTTATTGCTGTTTTATAAAAAGAAGAAAAAGGGCTGACTTCCCCTGTCTTTACTAAATGTATATTTTCTTTGCCACATTGTACAGCAGATCTGTTTGAGTGCAGGGCCCATAAACACCTTTGTGATCACAGGACCGCTTGTAAGCACTGGACTGCATATACAGC